TTTTTTTTTTTTTTTTTTTTTTTTTTTTTTTTTTTTTTATGTTTTGATTTCTGTAAGTTTGTAATAGCAGGAAAATTAGAAACTAATTTCTCAGGTACTCTCCACTATAGTATTATATTTTTTCCTTGATGAACAAACTGCTTTTTTTACCCCATCTTTTCACAACGGAAAAACTTGGTTAGATAAGCCAGGCGGATAAGCAAACAGGATGAGCCAATCCATTTCCAACAACGGCCCTTCAGCTGAGGAGCTGCCCCGTGTGGGCACCGCCCGCGCCGGAGCGGCGCTGTGCGGGAGGAGCGAGGCAGCCCGGCTGCCCTGCGCTGCTCGAGAGGAGCGGTATAGCGCTTGGGTACAAAACGTGGGTGGGAGGAACGTACTTGCAGTTTGGCTTTAGCTCTCATTGCTCTACGGTTATTAATGACAACTAAACGACGTCAATTTGCCATAACCGAGCCCATCCGTTCCTTCCCGCCGCCCGCCGGCTCTTTTCCCGCTCTCGGGAAGGCGGGAAGGCGAAGAGCGCCGCGCGCACAGGCGCGCGCACAGGCACGCGCCCGGCCCACCCTACGGCCCCTGCGGGCAGCCGGACCGTGAGCGCCCGGCGGGGCGGAGCCGAGCACCGCCCGAGGCGGCCGCGGCGCCACGTCAGTCCCGGAGCCGCCCCGCCCGCCGCCGGCCCACAGCCGGATCCCCGCGCGGGCCACCCTTCCGCCCGACGCCGGGTGAAGGTGCCGCCGTCCCATGCTGCCTCGCGCCCGGCCCGCTCCCTTCTCCGGCTCCCTCCGCTGCGAGCCGCCGAGCTCCCGTCGCCGGTAAGAGCCGTGCCGCTCCCGGGGCCTCCTGGCAACCCCGCCCCGGCTGCACTCCGCCGCCCCGTTACCTGAGGCCTCGCCGGGCGGGCGGCCCTCCCGCTGCTGCGGCTGCGGCGCGTGCGGCTCCGCGCTGAGGGAGAGGCGGCCCTGCAGGTGGGCGCGAGGGGAAGGCGGCCGCTGCAAGCACGCGCTTAAATACGGCGCGAGGGGCTGCTGTGCTGCGCTGCGCTGCCTGGTGCTGCCGTGCCCAGTGACCGCGCTGATACACGGGGAAGGGATGGTCTGCTGGTTGTGTGGTCAGCCAGCAGGCGGTAAGCCGACAACAAACTCCGCGTTCAGGTGCAGAGCTAGCAGTGCGGCTCAGTGCTCGTGTGTATTTGCTGAAGGAACTGGAAAACGTGCCTTTTTTCTCCCTGTTTTTCATAGACCGTAATTCTTGCAGGACTCATGCCGTGAAGTAGGGCAGCCAGAGCTGTGACGGGGGCCCTCAGGAGCGCTGCTCTGTGCCCCGGCTCCATCGGATCACTGGAGGCTCTTCTCAGCATTAGAACTCGTAAACTTCCCAGAGGCTCCACAATGGAGTTCTTGTTGTCCAAAGGAGATTACCCTACATCTTTCAGAAGGTCTTTACTAGTGGTTTTAGTATGTGTAATGGTTCTTGTGTGCACTGACCAGGACTACTATAGTTTACTCGGAGTATCCAAAGAAGCAAGTAGCAGAGAAATAAGACAGGCATTCAAAAAGCTGGCACTGAAGTTACACCCTGACAAAAATCAGGTAAGTTATGTCCTTAGCAGATCAGTGTTGTTGAGCTAGTAGATTTAATGATTGAACGATGACTTATTTTATCTCAGATGTTTATCAGTACTTGTGATGTACCACCTGGTAATGTGGTTTAGCTCAGATTTTCTGCAGAAAAGGTTTATGCGTAAGGGTAGACTAGTAATATGTGGTTGCATTGTCATTTGGATCACACTAAAGTGCTGTAGGAAAAAAGACAAGATCATTTAATTCTCTGTTCTGTTTTTGTAAAGTACAGGAAAACCCACATTTGCACCATATTACCTTGTTGGTAAACTGGTAAGTTTCTGTTTAGCTTAAGGAAACTCACTGTTGCTCTGCTGGTAAGTCTCATCCCAGATAGCATCCAACAGCAGCCTGTTTTGAGGCAGCAGTCTCCTAAGTGTCAAGAGCAGAAGTTGTAGGACCACCTGAGTGTAACAAGGAAGATGAAAAGTAGAATGACTAGAGAAAAATGCTGGAAATGGCTCCGTGCTGCTGTATTTTCCAAAATAGAAAAAAAAAAAAAAAAAAAAAAAAAACTTTTAAAAACTTAATTACTGTTCATTTGTTTGGTGTTTCTTTTCCTGAAATAATCAAAAATTCATGAGAAATGTGAGGGTTTAGCTCTTTAAACATATGTGCAACGGCACAGAGCCTCAGAAGACACCAGTGCGCCATGTAGGCCCAGAGATAGCACAGATTTTCAAACTGGTTGAGTAGGGAAGTAGAAAAGGCTATCGGGGAAATAGGAAGCCGTCATTCTGTTTGTTTCATTGTGAAACAAGATGCATTCTGTTTCTCTGCTGCTTCTTTGAGTCCTGGTACATAATGCATTTCTGTATGTCCAGAACAACTTAGTGAATCTATTGAGTTCAGAAATACACAATAACTTCTTTTGGGAGATGCACTGATGGCACACTGCTTGTTGGAAGAGGCTTCCTGCTGAATTTGCATGTATGCTCCTGCTTCTCTCCCCAGTGCATTATGTATCATATTTTCAAGAGAATAAAACTTGCACAGGATCAAACAAAAGTTGGGAAAGCTGAAAGAAGAGGCATCACTGTGGAGAACATTACAGCTCCCTACCTGGTAGCTTTGTATTTCAGTTGATGCCTTAGTGATGAGGATGAGGAAATGAGTAGAAGATGCATTGGGCTTTAGAAGAGGAAAACTTAATTGCAGTATTCATAGAGTCCCCTGTGTAGTGTCAGCTTCTGCTGCACTGGGCAGCATTAATAGGGACACTAAAATATTTCCAAAAGTTATTTTCTCAGCATTGTATGTACGGTGTGGCTTACTGTTTGCTTACTAATTATAGTTTTTCCTTAAATAGAATGATCCAAATGCCCACGACAATTTTCTGAAAATAAATAGAGCCTATGAAGTACTTAAAGATGAAGATCTACGGAAGAAGTATGATAAATATGGAGAGAAAGGTCTTGAAGATCAGCAGCAAGGAGGCCGCTATGAAAGCTGGCACTATTACCGCTATGACTTCGGTAAGGGATGACGTATGCTTGGGATTTGTTTGGAATAGTCCAAGTAAGTGCAATGTTCAGTTGCGTAGCAGTCTTTTTACATCAGAACCATCTGATGCATCCCCTCCGCACTTCTGCTTGCTCTGTTCTCCCATAGCTGTCCTTTTCACTGTGTTGAGCCAATTTTTTATCTCCTGTTGATGGTTACCCATCAAATTCCAGCAGTGTTACGTTCTACCTGCCTAGGTTTCTGTTCCTGCTGCCGACTCTTTTAAAGTGCCTTTTCTTTTTCATTTAAATTCCAGTGTTGCTATTTAATTTTTTCAAATTGTATATATTTTTAAAATACTCAGTGCTGGAATTGCATTCTCAAGTGGATTTTGAGAGGACGTTTCTGCATTGTCAAGCACGTTTTATATACAAATATACAATGAGAGATCAGTAAAGGGATGGTAGAAAACGAAGAAAATAACAGAATAATAACTAAAATGATCTTGAAACAAGTTATTTCACGTTTACCTCAACAGAGTTTGTATAGTTGTCAGAAAGGGCAGAGATGAACTATTCCTTTTTTTTTTCAGGTATGGATAATAAAAAAATAAAAAAGTCTGTGCAACTTGAAACTGAGCGAATTGGTTTCAAGCACAGGAAAAATGAAAATTGCTCTAAAATTTCTTCAGATAAACAGATTTAAGAAATCATTTTTGTCTGAAGTTGCGCTACTTGGTTGAAAAGCAGTATCCTTGACTGCCTATTAACCAGTTGTTTCTGATGGTTTATTTATACACGTACTGGCTTAAATACAGATATTTCTGTGTACATGTGGTGAGTGTGTGCAATATATTGTACGACATGCATAGATAGTAACACAAAAGGCAGCTTGTCCACTGTGGAGGTTAATTTCCCTCGTCACTGATGTGTATGTTATCCTTGCGTACCTCGGCGTGGTGGGATCTCAGCATGGCAGGCTCTGTGTCC